TCCACAAAATTTGAAACCCGTTTCCACTTGTGAATCTCGTGAATACAGCTGAAATAAATAATTAAAAAATAGTAAATGTGTTTGCACTATTTTTTCAAGGCAAGATGTAGTTTACCGATACATCAATTGCTTTAATGACTTCATTGAGATCGATTTTACTTCCCCTTTGAATACTGAAAGGCGCACTGCATTTCTCCTCTTCTGGTTCATCCGCATTTCCAAGAGCATCTTCAGTCCATTCTCCTCTCAAATTCTGTGAAATTTAGTTCAACTTAAAATTACGTTATAGTCATTATACATGATTTCCTTCAGATATTCACAGCCTAAATTTAATTGCTTTTCATTTATAAAAAGGTGCTTTAGAAGACGTATAATCCATTTGGGAAACAAGCTGAAGAAATAAGAATTTCGTACCAATTGCTTACTATTTAGCGAAGTTCCGATAATTTATTATACTAAGTGAAAAGTCAAGGATAGCTAAAATGACGTTTTCGAAGATATCTTCATGCAATTTATGCTCTCTTAGGTCTTCCAGTCTGGCCATTTCTCCAATAAAAGTTTCCATTAGAGCCTGTTTTCTCTTAGCTTTTCTCAAATTATCTTTGCGAATGCACTCCTATCATTGGGTAAAAGGAAATCTCGTACCTTTAATAGTTCACGCACGGTTTCCACCTCCTTCTTCTTTTCACCAATAACAAGTTCAGCTCTCAATATGCGATTTCGAATAAAGATATCTCTCTTCAAAAGCAAATCTTTCACATGTTTTTTAAATTTTAATTCAGCAGAGCATTTTTGACTTTGAACAGTCATAACAGTTTTCAAAATCTCATTATCCTTAAGAATGATTGAAATTTTAGCCACCCTACTGTTTTCACTGAAATCAATTGATGTTAGCTCTTAAGAATTTCTGCAGTTACTTCTGACAACTTTTCATCACGATCAGGAAGACCACGGAAGCCCAACATTTTATCCATGCAAATGGTTTGATATACTTAATAAAGAAAAGCGATCATAATTGATATTTCAAGGAAAAATATTTACATTATACAAGAAAATTAAAGTTAGCTGGTAAAATTGGGACTTAGGTAAATTTAGTTGTTCCAGTTGTTATTTGTATGAGATCCGAATTGGTATTGGCTTAAAAGCCTCTCAGCGTCTATTAACTCCAAGGTCAGAGTTGTGACTTATTAAAATAATTCTATTTACACGAATCTAACAAGTTTTAAAAGTCCGTATGATTTTACGAAAATTTAATGTCACCGTTTTTTAATATTTTACTTGTATCTATTTATTTTCTCCAATGAGTCCACGAAAAATAAAATAGAGTTTCGTGGCATCTAGGCTCACAAAAGAGGCAAAGCTGACAGTTCATCAATTTTAGGAGTTGCATTAACACTATGTGTATCATTTAAAACCCATATGAATAAGACAGACCTGAACAAGATTGGCAACATTTAAAATTACATTACTTTAATCAGTCTGCAGGTGCATTTGTGGATAGATATTACAATCCAAAATGTCATGTTGTGAAAGCCCTGTCAGATCACACCAAGCCATCTGCACTTAATTTAACACAAACCACTTTACTGTTAGTCAAGACATGTCTTATTCGATGGTGCTCTTGATATGGCCCAATACGCTAGTTATTCAATCCATTAAGGCCATAATAGTGGAATCCTTGAATCCTGTACTTAATTTTGCCATTGTAACAAATAACATCATGTCACATTGTGTAAGGCGTTCGCTCCATAGATAAGGGTGTCACTTATATGTGCAAAGAATAGCTTCGTGATTTTGTGAAAATTAAATTTCCAATTACTCACTTGGTTATAACGAGATTAGTTGACTGTTTGGAAGAGCCTTATTCGCGATTCATATTTTCGGGCCTATCTCGAAATCATTTAAACCTATGGACAGCACAGTGCTACCATGGCTGAATCACGGAGATTCATGCTCGCTTGAACATTCCGGAGCCAACCAATACTAAGTGATTTCGTAACAGAGAAATCTGGGGTTTGTGTGTAAAGTGAAGTAGACTGTCGAGAAGAAGAAGTTGACGAGTAAGAAATGTAATACAAGGAATAGAAGCACTAAGCTCTCATTCACCTTTGTCAGGCCTTGTGCATTTAGTGAACACTGTAACCCCTTAGATTAAGTAAAGAAGGAAGGAAGGAATGAAGGAATGAAGGAAGGAAGGAATGAAGGAAGGAAGGAAGGAAGGAAGGGAGGAATGAAAGAGAGAATGAGAGAAAGAAAAGACATCGAAGTGGGAGAATGCTGAAAAGTCCAAAGTAGATATTTCGAATAATCTCAATTTTGAATCATTTCTTTATTTGTTCATTTACTTCAAAGCAGTTGCACAATTCGAACTAGGAGGTTCTCTCAACCTCTAAGGAGGTGCAGTTGATAATTCTCGAGTAAACACAACATATTTTATTAATCTTGTTTCATTGCTTCGGTTTGATCTAGAAAATGAGTGTATGGAGTGCAGACCGAAACACATAAGCTCATCACCAAGAGTTTTGCAATGAGGTTGGCAAAATTGGATGGGGAATCAATGCGACTTGCCATGACTGTGCCAATCATGGCATGGAAGTCTCGGCTCGCCCACCAAGCTCTTCCAGACCAGTTACTGGCTGCTTCAACGACAACCGGAGTGGAACCTGGCCACATTGACCCCAGTCGATTCACTCGTTGAGTAGCCGATTATGCTCTGTTGTTATTATAATTATTATTATTATTATTTTTTTTTTTTTCGCAATTTGCAATTATTATTGCAGATTTGCTATTATCATTGCAATTTGCAATTATTATTGCAATTTTGCAATTTCGCCTGCATTTCCGCCATCCGGGCCTTGTCGGCTTGACGTAGTGGCACAAACGTCCAAGTCGAGCCGGTAAGCGGAGTCACCGCGC